ATAACTAGTGTATTTTTTGTCTGATTTTGATAACATTTGCTTTGAAGGTGCAAGGCGGGATAAACTTGAATGAGTTTGCGAACCAGCATGATCGGACCATGGGAACAGGGTTTTATGGAGTAAAAATGGGTTTTCCCATTTTTGACCCTCAAAACATAAAATTTCCCACTTCACTCCAAACCATTTTGTAGAGCTTAAAAAAAAACAAATAATTTAGTATATTGAAGTGTTTTTGTACAAATATTGGTTACGGAAAAAATTCTAAAAATTGTAAATAATTTTAAATTATTATGTTATTCTTATGGAGGGTAAAATATAATAATAGTCTGTTGTAATTTTCTCTTTTATGGATATATTTAGAACGACTTGGCAAATTTTTTTTCCTAGGACGCTAGGCACGAGCACGGAATTGTTTCCCGCATTACTTCAGGCTATACCAAGGGTATACGACATTATCACTTAGATAAAATCCATTGGTGGTTTGGCAGGATTTGAACCCGGGACCCCAGAAACCGGAGTCACGCGCACTAACCACTAGACCAGCTAGCTCCCCCAGACCAGCTCGCTCCCCCTATTTATTTTTTACTAAGCTATCAACATTTCAATAAAAAAAACACCTCAATACCTTCCCTGTAGCAGCAAACCTAAGTAATCATTAAAATAATGATAGGAAATAATTCATCTTACAATTTTGATGGAATAAGTTTGTGGAATTCCAGTCAGGTAAGTGGAAATTTGCTTAGTCTGCAGGTTTGATGCGACGGGGTATTATAGGTTAAAATCCTTCAAGAAGGTGAGAAAACATTGGCTATTGGTCTCACGTTTAAAGAGTGTCAGTTACATATTGAACTACCCTTTGACACAAGGGAAATGGCACTAGCAGCGGGGAATTCTAAAATTTCCCTTACTTCTGACACATAAATTGTTGAGAGTTTCTGAGGATGTTTATTTCAGTAAATAAACTAACAAATTACTACTTCTTGTGACTATAAAATTTGGGTTGAAGATTTTTTGTAACCTTACAAAAAACATTTACTTTGAAGGTAGAAAGTAGATTTATCACTATACTAAAGTTGCTTTGATATGTTTGCTTAGTTTGTTAACACTTTGAGTGTGATGATGTTTCCATTTTTTTCGTGGTTAATTTTCAATGTTCAAGGTCATTTTTTTCAGTGTTTTCCTTTACTCTTTCCCAAAATATTTATGATAAATGATAGATTATTTATAACGTAAGGCCTACAAGTAAATATAGTTAAAATTGTCAAAATATCAAATAGTAACAAATTATAAATACATTTTAATCGTAACCCTTCAATCAAATTGATATCCAAATTTTATATCATGTAAGCAAAACAATTTTTGCTAATATTGTTTTCCCACTTTCTCTCTGATTAATGTGAATCAAATTGGAACCAGGGATATTTTTTATTTGTGTATTAACTAGAGTTTCAAGTTTGTAGTGTACTTGATAACTCTGGCATATTATAATTCATAAACAGCAACATTTTCGTAGGACACCCTGCATACATACCTACTCTAAAAACATATAATTTAAAATAACTGTTTCGCACTAAATTTATTAGAGACAGCAATTTAGGTGGTATGAATGAGATTAATTTTGATAACACTCGTAGGGGTTTTGAGACTAACGACAATTGTATTTGTTCAGTGTTGTGTGTGTTTAATAACAATAAACTAAACAGAAAGACAAAATAAATCACTAGTGACAGAAGGTCAAATACGTGAGAAGTTAACTTGCTGTAATAAATCCAAGCTCAATAGCTAACCAGAAATACTTTTCACTTTACTTTGTTTTTAGTCAGTATTTGTTCTGTAGACAAATAATAAAACTAACAATTAAATCAAAATTTTAAAATTCACAATACAATTGATTGCCACAATTAATACATTCTTTTCATCAACAAGTCATAGAAAATAAACCAAAAATTTGCGTTTTCACTGTCAATATACCAAAAGTTATAACACCCAATTGACTAAGTCTAAATTTGATCCTAGACTAGGACCTAAAACTAGGACCTTGGCTAAATTTTACAATATTTTTACAATACAATGTCTCTATACAGTAGCCTTTTGTTTTGTAATAAATTAATTCAATATATCTTCTTATTTATGACAATATTAATTTTGTAATTGAATTAAAACCTTACAGTACAGAAATTTTCTAATCCTTTAACTTAAAAATCTTCAATCTAAATTGCTAAACTCCCATGATATTTACCTCTGAAGAGAATATATTCCAAGTTTTGATTAAAGAATAAAACTGTTGTTCAGAGTTTGCTGCAGACAATATCCCCACATTTGAAAGTCAGATTGAAACTGAAGTAATATTGCAAAAATTTAAATCTCAGCTTTTCTCAACAACTCTCAACTTACATTCAGTTTTATATTCTTCGACTTTTAACCTAATTACCGGGACCTGTTTATGGCTTATTTGTTTTATAATTTTACAAAATTGCGTTTACTTCACAGTACTTAACAGCTGGAATATTTTAATTTTACACTTTAATTGTTGTAAATTGTGTGTTTTATTAGAAAATGTTAGAAATTAATTCTGTCTCATGTTGTTCCGAGTGATTGTTATAAGCCTTAAAACTTTCAAAATATTGTACTTAGTTTAATTTTGTTTAAGTGAACTGATGAATGAAGCTGTAATTATCTCTGAACAAAGGTATGACCATAGACAAAAAGAAAATATAGAAAATAAATATAGACCGACTGCAGTTCTGTGGTTAGCATATGTTCCGGCGCCCACCGCTAGGAGTGCCGTGTAGTTACGGCGCACTCCGCTGCAGCGTCTGCTGGTCGCATACGGCGGATCGAGGGGCCGACGACAGTAGCAAATCGAACACATCGGCACATCGCGTAACCTTCCTTTGACAGTCTATATTAAATATAGATAATAATTTTTATTCTATTTCTCTATGGTATGACCAAGCTTCTCAAGAGAAACATTGCAATTGCCAGTGATTTCTAATTTATATTTATTGGATGCTAATCCTACCTTTTTATTCACCTTGTGAATTTTCAAATTTGGCTGACGGGCTACTTTGCCATAAATCAAGCTCAAGTCACTTTCAGAATCAAGCATACCAGTAACCTCGAAACCGTTATAAGTGACAATGGTTTAACTTAAATTATTATAGAAATGGGAATATTTACCTGAACAGAATGAGGCTTTTAATTCAATAAAGAATCACACTCGAAACATGATAGGAGCTATTTACAAACAGTCAATAAATAAAAAAAATAAATTACATGTGATCGACAATCTATAACACAAAGTAAAGAAGGAAAGGCAGAGTATAAAATATTATATCTACAGTATATTATATATTCATAAATAACTGATGGAAAAGGGACATTAATATTGTAGAAATTCAGTGCAACAACTTATTATAAAAGTTTGCTTGATATCTATAAATTGGGTATTCGTTCCTAATCACAAGTAGTAGATCAATATTGTTAAAAATATAAAACGTGTTATCAATTAAATTGTGGCTTACACTGTAATATCATATCAAAGGGTAAAAAGGTGTTTTGAAACTGTTGATGTCAAACTTTCTAATACCCTTACTTTTACATATTTCCAAACTAATGACATTTTCAGTATAGTTGTTACACTTATTACCTAACTAAAAGCACCTATAGTGTTTTCTTAGTAAACTTAAGTTTTTACTTATCAAAGTGAATCAAATCGTGGATCAATTTTTATCAAAGGGATCTTATCTCTAACACTCTTAACACAATTGCTCATAACAAAAGTTCACGCTTAATTTAAATTTGTGTACACTAACAGTTATTGCCCAGTTTTCCGAAAACTAAAACATTTGCTTGGCAATTTGGCTTCGCTCAGGTTTTTATGGGAAATCAAATCTTGATAAGAAATTTAATGGTGTATATGTGATAATATATTGGTTGGTTGTTCGAGCTTACCTCTCTTTTTGAACAATGTTCAAGGTAGTACTTGTACTTCGAGTACTTGTGCTTTCCTTCTGCTCAGTTCGAGGTATTTATGTATTCTAAACTCTCTCACATTCTATTTTGCTAGATTTCATAACAGTGTTAACAATTACAATACCAAGTGTTGTAGCTCTACCTTAATTATTTTTTTTAATATTTAACTGTTCAGGGGCTGTTTTTCTACCCTGGAAATACAAAGACATCATGTATTCACCATTGTAATAGAAATGCAGGTGACATCCCTTTCCAGTGTTCACCTAGCAATCAAAAGGTCGCCAGATCAATCCTGAGAGAAATCAGTAGCTTTTTGATGGTTCAAAACTGGACCCAGCCGTCCCTGTTCATTATGGGCTTTAATAATCATCCTGACTAATGAAACAGCTGATCTTAGTCGGTAAAAAAGCTACAGATTATCCCACACTAATCTACACTCATCCTTCATTCATTTACCTACTTACATCATTCCTTACCACAATGTAAGAAGACTAGTGTATAGTCTTTTAAGCTGAGAAGCCTTTTCAGCTGATTTGATTGGCATTTAAATCAGGTACTGGGATTTACTGACTTTACTGAAGCAATACTGAGAGTAATTCTATAGAATTATCATCTATACTGTATATTCTGACTGAGTAATCCGATATTGTTTTGCACCACACAGAGCCTGAAGTAAGGGATAGAAGAAACATTCAATGGTGCACTTAAGTGGTATCTAGCACTAGCCGCTAGTGTCTAGGGCTAATCGCCTTTCCTAACCCCCCTCGCCATCACGTACTACTAACTACTACACTCATGCAAGAGGAAGACCTTTGTACCCGTGATAGGAACTTGCCAACTTGTGCACTATTCTCGCCACTCTGGCTCTTCATTGTGTTTCCGGCACAACATACTAGAGCTGAAAGAGCACGGTCGCCCCACAAGCAAGTTTCCTCTGTGACTAGAGTAACATAATGCTAAGATTGATGCAAAATATTGAAACAGTATTAAGACAGAAATTGTGTTTACATTGGTTTTTCAGGTGACTTGGAATGATGATAAAACATATTGTGAATTCAAAGGGAGGAAAATGGCCACTTTAAAAAATCAGAATGAACAGGATCAAATTGAACGATTAATGATTACAAATGGTAAGTTACACAGATTAAGTTGTGGCGATTCAAAATAGTTTGTCTCCTTCATCCTTCGTGGCACTTTAAATTAAGCAAAAAAATGTTTTGAATACCTCTCTATATTAGAGATGAGAGGTATGAATAAGAAGATTGAAGATTGGCAAAATTAATTTTGCCAATGTCTCCCCATTATAAGTAAAGATTTATATACAAAGTAGTGTTGACCTTCTGTAGTGTTCTACTAACACTTGTTCAGAGAAACCATTTTTCAATCAACAAACTAATTCTATATGGAAACATTGATTTTCAGGTTTGGCAAATGAAAACGTTTGGCTTGGACTTTCAGACATAAAGGAAGAAGGATTTTTTAAATGGGAAGATGGAACAGACCTGAAGTACACAAAATTTGAAAACTGGAAACCAGGGGAGCCAAACGATTTTCATTACTGGAGAAAAAATCCATTAAACCTTGAGCATTGTGTGCAAGCCAATGGGAAGGACAATTTTTGGCCGGGAAGTAACAAGTTTCAATGGAATGATATGCCTTGTGATCAGTCAAATAATATCCCTGGTGACCATTTAAGTTACATTCTCTGTGAAAATATAGAATGTGCAGAGTAAACTCATATACATGATTAAAGTTTTACAATGCATTATGTTGCACTGGACAGGATACATTTGTTTTAGTGTCAATAAACTCCTCTTGTTCTGTTTTATTTTTTGAACTTTTTTCCCCAGTCTCTGGTATAAACGATGCATTATTCAGGTCTATACTACTAGGGGTAACGAGAATCTGCAGTTGACGCGGCAGCCAATAGCACTGGACTAGCGCGACGTTGCAACATCGCCCATTCACTAATTATTTTTGACACTAATAAAAATATACTAAACAGTATTTTTAAATCAGCTGGTATTGTAAGATTTAGCAACACCGCACTGACCTCATTGGCTCCTTCGAAGTCACGTGGTAAATATGCTCCTCCCATAACTACAGACTCTCGTGGACGGTACTGTTAATGATTTAGGACTATACAATAAAAATTGTGTTTTTAAATATACCAACAACACTAACACCTAACTTACCTGGCCCTGTCCTGTCCATAATATATATACAATCATCTCTATATCACACCTATATTCTACCTTCCAAATTGCACTGACCAAGTGAACGAGGAATGGAATGATAAACTGTGGTGTACGGTGAAGCTTCATGTGTATGGCTCTACCGCCGAGCCATAGTGAAAGTACGGCAACAAAAGAGGGAGCAGACGACATCAAAAAAGTGTAAATATGTCATTTATCTGAAGTGAAGTGAGTATCGAGTGAACTTCAATAGTGAAATCGAATCGCACTTGAAACTAAGGTTAAGGCCATGTTTACATTAATGTTAGAAATTCGTGCCATTTCTTTTTTTTATTATTAAAATGAATCGTTAGCGAATTATATTGTCAGCCAACAGTGTTATTTCTCTATAACCAGCCTTCTTGAAGTTTATTCAGTATGATGTTTATCATTAGTGAAGCATTTTTGGGAGAAGTTCAAAAGAAAGTTTGCTTGAATAGCCTGTCTCCAAGTTTCTAATTATTCACAGTGTTCTGGTAAATCGGAAAATACAAGTTAATTTTATTCTCCGTAAGTTCATTATTGAATGAACGAAGTGAATTCTCATACTGGTGTAAAATGCATCTCATGTAAATCCAAAAACTCGAGAATGACTACGTATATGAAGTTGATGTTTTGCACAAAGGTTCTTTATCATATTATCTTGGTTAAGTTCGTTATTGGAGATTATTTGTTCAGTAATAATTATAAAATCCTAAAAAAACCATTTTAATTTTCCCCCATAAGAATAACATTAGGAGCTACCTTCTTCTTCTTTTTTTTGTTTACATTTTACAAGCAACAATTTTGTTGTGAATTCTAGAGACCGAAGTGAATTCTATTATTTCTTTCATCCATGGAGTAAACAGTTTTAACATCTGTAGGTATATTATATTAGTCAATGGTTTTATGCTTAATAATTCTTTAATTTATAATTATTCTTAAAAAAATTATCGGAGGAAATAAATATGGGATATAAAAATATCCACCGAAATGTATTACAATCGATAAAAATGTTTCGGTAGTCATGTTTGAACTTTTTACATGTTTTTATGGTTGTTAGTTTAGTAGGCCTAGGCTTGAATTAAGTAAGACCACAGTCCTTGGAATGATTGTTAATTAAAATAATGGGTGAATTTTATCACTTGGGTGGCATGATGGGTTTCTAAAAATAAGTGGTTTTAACATTGTCTTGAGCTTTTTATATATTGTTAATTTTCAATATTATTGTTATAGCACACTCTGCCTATGCCTATCAGATTTTTTTAAGAGTTATTTTTTTTTCAAACATATAGGCTAATAAGTTAAATAGTTTCCTTTTTTCTTATCGTCTGTTGTTTGTTAGTGCTTTCTGTCGGGTGTATTTGTTGTTAATGTTGGTTGTAAAATAAAATAGTTAACATTTTGATACAATCATTTTAATGAAAAAACCGCAAATATTACTCCTTTTAGTTAGAGTGTAAGAGTTAATTCACTTTATACCTATCTTTGTCACTGTTATCAATGGCAAAAACTAGATCTATAGGTTAGGAACTGAGTGAGCCATGGCCTTTGGTTAGAGACCATTAGATTCTAAGCAAGGAAGGAACTTAAATTACTGTGTCTGGTTAAGTGTTTCAAAAATTAATCGTCATTATTGAGATATGATCTTTCAAGTGTTTTTTTAAATTTAATATTAGGCCTATAACTTAACGTTATCCGGTAAGTTATAAGCTAGGCCTATTTAACTTAACTTGGTTACACTATCAAGTGTAACTGACAGAGTGTTCCCTATGAAGTAGGATAGCCTGTAATCAAAGGTAATAGGCCTAGCCTACCTTGGCCTTTTCTTTAGTCTAATAATTTAAATCAAAGGACCTAGGGTAGGCCTAAGTTAATAGATCAATTTATTCTAACCTTTAACTTGTATAAGTTAGCCTATCTCTGGCCATAAGCTGGGTTTTCCTTGGCGCAGAGTGCGGAAAGGCGATTTAACAACGTCTTCCGACGCGCTTCTAGGAAAACAGTTAACTAAACATTAACTTAAATGACTGTAAGATGCCTAAGACATGAGGAGAGCCTCACTTTCGTTTACGTCCACACTCATTCTAATGAATATATCATCAATATAAGTTTATCGATTATTCCATTCGATATATCAAGTTTGGTAAGTTAACTATGTTTACGTTAACCGAATGAAATACAGTAATCGATATAATCGAATAATTGATATCTTAGGCCTATCAATATTTTTCATTCGAATTAGTGTAAGGATGTTTAAACTTAACTGAAGTCAAGAGGAGTCTGTGTTTTGCAATCCGTTTCTGTGCCTAACTTAGCTTAGGAAACTCCAGCTCCAGGTTAAGTAGGCCTATTGTGAGTTAAGTTAGGTATGTAGACCTAACTTATCTGTCTGCAGTCAAGTTTCTATAAAAAGCCTACTACATGCAGGCCTAAGTTAGGTTTAAAGCATTCGTAGCTCATCTGAATCTCTAAATAGTTTGAACTTATGTAACGAGTGTTCTAAAAGTCAGTTAACCTAAGAATTTCTCATTTAAGTTAGTAGGCCTAGGCATGGGTGGAGTTCCACTAAAACCTGCGATATTTTATCAAATTAATAATAAGCTATATCAATTACGATTCGGTTCGATGAATTTTAAAAACTTAGGTATAACCTATAGACCCTACCGGTACCGGTAAACAATAACAAGCAAAAAAGATCCAATTTTGATGAAATTTGGTATAAACGTGTAAACATAGGCTAGGCCTACATTTATTTTCGTAAACCAGCATGATCTAACTATAGGAACGGGAGTTTTGGGGGGTTTTATGAGGTAAAAATATAATTTTCTCATTTTTGACCAAACACAAAATTTTACAATTTCTTTCCAAGCCATTTTGTAGAGCTTAAAAACCAAATAATTTAGTATAATGAAGCGTTATCATACATCTAATAGTTACTGTATGGAGGAAATTCCAAAAATTTTTAATTTTAAATAGGTAGCTATTATTCTTATGGAGATTAATTCAACTGTTGTACCTGTAGTTTGCTTGTTTTTGAGCATATATTGATCAAAGTGCTTTTATTGGTGTGAACCTGGCAATAACTCCAGCAATAAGTAGTGCGCACGCCCTATAAAATTATTGCTGGCCGTTTAGCGAGAAAATACGGCTGCGTACCATATTACCGATGATGTCACCAGATAGAGGATACTTTAACGGACACGACAGTATCAATATCATGTACCTGGGGGATAAGTTGGGGGGGGGGGGTAAAGTCAGCAATAAGAAGTGAGCGTCCCTTATAATGTCTATTGCTGGCCGTTTTGCAGGAAAATACGGCCGCGTACCATATTATCGATGATGTGACCAGATAGAGGACACTGTAACGGACACGACAGTATCAATATCATGTACCTAGGGGATAAGTTAGGGGGGTAAAGTCATCAAAAATTCGAAAAAATCTATTGCTGGCCGTTTAGCGGAAAAATCCGGCCGCGTACTTTATTACCGATAGTGTCAACAGATAGAGGACACTTTAACGGACACGACAGTATCAATATCATGTAAGTGGAGGATAAGTTAGGGAGGGTAAAGTCAGCAATAAGTAGTGAGCGCGCCTAATAAAATCTATTGCTGGCCGTTTTGCGGGGAAATACGGCCGCGTACCTTATTACCATTGATGTCACAAGATAGAGGACACTTTAACGGACACGACAGTATCAATATCATGTACCTGGGGGATAAGTTAGGGAGGGTAAAGTCAGCAATAAGTAGTGAGCGCGCATAATAAAATCTATTGCTGGCCGTTTTGCGGGAAAATACGGCCACGTACCTTATTACCGATGATGTCACAAGATAGAGGACACTTTAACGGAGACGACAGTACCAATATCATGTACCTGGGGGAGAAGTTAGGGGGGATAAAGCCAGCAATAAATCGAAAAAATCAATCGCTGTCCATTAAGCGGAAAAATCCAGCCGCGTACCTTATTATCGATAATGCCAGCAGATAAAGGACACGAAAGTATCAATATCATGTTTCTGGGGAATAAGTTTTGGGGGGGGGGTGTGGTCAGCAATAAATAAAAAAAATCTTTTGCTGTCCGTTTAGCGGGAAAATCCAGCTGCGTACCTTCTTATGGATAATGCCAGCAGATAAAGGACACTTTAATGGACACGACAGTATCAATATCATGTACCTGGGGAATAAGTTAAGGGGGGGTAAAGTCAGCAATTAGTAGTGAGCGCGCTTCATAAAATCTATTGCTGGCCGTTTTGTGGAAAAATACGGCCGCGTACCTTCTTATCAATTATGCCAGCAGATAAAGGACACTTTAATGGGCACGATAGTATCAATATCATGTACCTGGGGGATAAGTTAGAGGGGGGGGGGGGGTAAAGTCAGCAATAAGTAGTGAGCGCGCTTCATAAAATCTTTTGCTAGCCATTTTGCTGTTTTGACCCCAGTCGCGCACCCTCGCCACTAGGTTCCATCTTACGCGACCAGCGGGCCATGTTATCAAATGCTGTTGCTGTTTATTACGCGCAGCCACAGTCACACCTGTAGCTTCCTCAAACGACTGGCAGTCGCGGTCACGCGCAACTAGTGTCCTCTATCTGTTGGCATCATCGG